TTAACTAATATATATATATATATATATATATATATATATATAGAAAATACATCAAAATGCATATAGGTGAAGTTTTACAATACCTAACCCATAGCTCATCACTATCCAATCCATCACATAATCACGGGCTATCTGATAGTATTTGAATTTTATAACTTTTTTTTACAACTCAGATTTATACGAAATTCACCAAAATAAAAAAGTACAAAAATAATTGTCAAAACATAAAATGATAAAAATTCCTTTGAAACTTTAGAGGGGCATTATGGCCATTTTCATCATTCAAAATATTTGTTCATATTTTATTCAGGTGCCTCATTAAGGCGAAGGCGTACACACCCACAAAATGTAAAATCAATATGGTTTGTATAAAGATTATTAAAATTCAAAAAGTATCAGATAGTCGTGACCGTGCGATGGACCAAACCATAAACTGAACTCAATCTGTGAATTGAAATAATTTTGAAATTTTCCATACTTACCATGTGATTCTTCATGCTTTCTAAGCTTTGACTCATATTTGAATGCCTTTCCACATTCAGGTTCCTGACATACATGTGGCAGACGATTCTGTCGTCCACATGATGGAGAATCTTCGCCGTGATGTTCTTCTATGTGGCGTTTTACATTGCCCTGGTAAGTGAATTTATGATTACAGTTATCCACAGGACACTCAAAAAGTTTGTTCTCATGCTTAAGAAGATGTCGGGTCAAGTGATCTTTCCTCCTATAACTGCTGTGGCAACCATCTACATGGCAAGTAAATGATCTCTGCAACAATTGAAGTTGGACATATATCAGAACTTCCATATATGTACGAAGTCTGAAGAGCATATTATGAACATATTGGGAGCATCCAAGACAAAGTTAATTTAAAAGAAAAGGATGCCCAATACACAAGAATGAACAGGAAACACCACTAAAACTCCATTACAATACCTTACAGCTCTATTTTTTGTACACAATGCTAGTCACAACAGTCATGGGCCACAAGAAAATGGCCAATTACATCACAATAACCAGAATTAAGATTCACACGCACGTAACAGTCAAAAGAAAAAGAAAACAAACCTCTTAGATATATTGCGCGTGAATAAGGTGGAAAGATAATTGCTTGATGGAGCTTCACAGGTGGTCTCCCACTCTGATACTAGTCCATTCAAGACCAAAACCACCCCTTCGCATTTTGGAGTTCTATACATGGGATCCAATGCTTCACACGGCTTACTCAAGTCCTGAAACCCAACCACCTAATTAACCAAACATAGTTGTCAAATCACATTAAGCACAAGAACAAAAAAGGCACATTGGTTAAATAAAAGAACTCAGAACTTTCTTGTGATAAAAAATGAACAAAAACTTCATAACCCTATCAATCCTGATTCTCTTAAATAACAAAGAAACTGGAAGTTCCCAGAAGATGGGTCAAAAAGCATCAACTTTAAGACTGAATTTTATTTTATTTTTCTGATATGAACTTTTAAAACATTCACCCCCTTAAAAAAAAAACCTCCTTCAATGCAGAGGGTTAACATTTACAGAAGGAGAACTTTCCAATCGGTTCCAGAAACCTCATAAACAAAAAAACAACATGGATATTTTTTTTACACCTTAATTACCATGGGGAATGCAGTGAATTGCAATGCCATTTTTCATTAAAAACATAATTTGCCTCATAAACAACAAAAATAAATTTTTACTGCATTAAAGAATTTGCCTCGTACATTTTTTGAGTAGAGTAATTTGCCTCGTACATTTTGAAAACACCTATCAGCTCATTTTGTTAAATCATGCCATACATGCCAATAACTAAACACCCATCTGAACCAGTTAATTCACATAAAAGGAAGTTCAGATTTCTTACAAGACCTTATCTTAGTACCATAAATAAACAACGAGTAAATTCAATTGATTTTTCATGAAGATGTTAAATGACAATTCAATCAATTCTTAGATTCAAGATATAAAAATTTATCCTGCATCTGCACCATTTATGTGGTTTATAATATTTAACCACATTGATTAAATGGGCTAAATCAGTGTGACTGTGTGACACAAAAACACCAAAATTAACATTGATTAAGGGCGTGTTTGATAACAGGAAGACCCTTCCAGGAAGTTGAGAAGTTCTCAGTACTGTTCAACTTCTTGTGTTTGATAAAATAAAAGAACTTCATATAAGAAGTTTCCATCTTCCCATCTCCCGTTTAAAAAAAAGTTCCAAAAAAGTTCCGACCCAAAGGTCGGAACTCAAAATAGGAAGTTCGATACTTCCTACCTCAATAAACCTAGCTGCAGTACCCTTCGCGATAACCCTAGCCGCAAAACTCCTTCGCCGCTGAAAAGTTTTCCACGCTGAGCACTCTTCTTTGCTGAATGCCCCTTTGTCAAGCACCCCTCTCTTTGCAGCAAGCCCTTCTGTTCTTCGAGTTTAGCCGTTGAGGTATGCTTCTTCTTCACTGAGCACCCCTTCGTCAAGCACACCTCTCTTTGCAGTTCTTCGAGTTTAGCCGCTGAGGTATGCTATTGCCTCTAAGATTTTCGTAATCTTTCTCTCTCTATCTCTTCTTCGAGTTTGGGGTTGCTTGATCTTTGAGCTCTAATCTTTGAGCTCTAATCTTTGAGCTCTGATCTTTGAGATCTGATCTTTATGTTCAGATCTAGGAACTCTGATTTTCGTTTTCTTGTTTGAATCTCAGTGCTCTGATCAGAATACGAAAGTGCATCAAAAAACTTCATTGAGCTCTGATCACACACACATACCTGTTTCTTTTGAATTTTGTGAGAATGAGAAATTGAGAACTATTTTTACAGCTCCCTTCTCCTTTCCTTTTTAACAAAAAAAATAAGGCTAAAATGGAAGTGGGTTTTTTTACAAAATCATAATTTTAACCGGTACCAAATAGCCTACTCCTATAAATTTCATCTCTCGAAAACTTGGATTGAGCTCGGATCTCCTGGATCTGAACATGAAAACCAAAACTATTTCTAGGGCTTCTCCCTAACCATTTCTAGGGCTTTCTGAGATTCTCTCTGACAAATTAATTGATTTTTAAGCTTTTATCTGAGCTTAAACATTGGAAATCTCTAGGGTTTTATGGGTTTGTTCGAGCCATTACGCGAAATTTAAACTTGTTTCCCAGCTTGTGCTATATTTCTGCTTTTTTTTTTTCCTCTTTTTGTGGTGGAATAGCTCTCCTTGTTGTGATATTAATTCTTAGTTTCTTATACTCATGTTTAATCCATGATTCTAGTGATTTTACACTGATTTTTCATTATTTCATTATAATTTCTCATACTGAAATTGCGTGTCTTGTTTATCTCAGAAGGAATTTGATTTAATTTCAGATTGTGAAAAACAATTCTGAAATTTCATCTCAAACTCTTTTTAGTCGTTACTCGTGAGATTGTACTCAACATCATCGTGAGAGCCTTTTCCCAACTATTTGGGGTCGACTAATTCTTTAGACTGTCGTACACATAAAATTAACATAATATTTAGCTTGTGAATTTGGTTTCAAGATTGGATAAATACTTGAATTGTAATATGACTAAAGACTGTTGACTGTTTCGACACTATGTTAAAAACTCATCTAGAAGCAAAAAATAAAAATGTTGATCTACTATTGTAAATTTCATTCCAATTTTGTACCAAGGAACAAAAGGCTCTAAAGTTTTTTTGCTCAACCTTAGCATCCATCATCCACGATGCTAATTTACAGTTATTTGAACTAGTCACACTTTCAGCAGCCCAGAAGACTAGTGAATCAATATCTATTAACAGGTGGTCTCATTTGGATGAAAATTCTTCAATTTTTGGTTGTCACCTTCACTGTTGATCTAGTAAGCTGGAAGAATTATGAATTGAGTAATTGGACAGTTGTAAATCATTGAATGTTATGGAATCTTATTCAAGTGTTGATGTTTGAGTTCCAAATACAAGAATGTGTGATGTTGCTACATTTGAATCCGGACTGAGAGTTTTATAATAGTGGTTGTGATTCAGCAAAATTTGACCTTTCAGAACTAAATATGATTCTTTGTGATAACAAGTATTTGGCAATTGATTGAATTTTTATTATTTTTCTGCATAATTTACTAGAATCCAAATGTCAATGCATGACCACCTGTGTCGTGAACCCTTTGAAATTTCAAATTGTCATTTTGCCACTATTGACAGTCACACTTAGCTGGGTTCATGAAGATCTAGACTAATTTAAGTAGTGCTCAAGTTATTACAGGTTATGACTGGTTATTGCTGTGGAAGTCTATAGATGGAAACTATGTGCACCTGTTCTTTGCAAAAAAAGAAACAGAAAATAAAACCCATTTTATATAATTTACATGACTGCCACTGATTTAGGAAACTTCAAGATGATATACACTTTATAAAAATTACATGACTGCCACTGATTTTGAAAAACTTCAAGATGATATCTGCCCCATGATGTTTCTTTTGGTAAGGACTATAGGCCGGTTTGAAAACCAAAATGCATTTTTATCATGTGGTGTTAGTGGTGGACATACGAAAACTGTAACTCTTACCAATGGGATGAAAACCCATCTTTTCTTCTTTTCTCTAATCCAATAGAGATACCCAGTTCTTCTTTAACTTTCCAGGAGGTTATCAAACACAGAAACCAGGAAATTCTTAACTTCCCAAGAAGTTATCAAACACATAAACCATGAACTTCTTAACTTAACTTCCCAAAGAAGTTATCAAACACATAAACCAAGAACTTCCAATTTACAGTTCATGAAATTGCTTCGAGTTATCAAACAGGCCCCAAATTCAAAAGAAAAAATACCCATTCAAAAGAAAAAATACCTCTTACTAAAACATTAAAAAGCAAACAAAAAAAAATGCCACATCCATTTCATAACAGTATGAAGCCCATTATGGCAGCCACAGATAACTATTTACAGACATAAATTAAAGCAATAAAAAAGCCCAGGTAAATTACAATTTGTTTTCCAACTATGATGGGAATCATCATTATCCATTTAGAAAAAATAATTTCCTCTCATCGAAGAAAAACCAGAACAAAGAGGCTTGAGTCATCACAGAGAATAATTGAAAGTAAAGGGTAATTTAGTCCTCGGAAGTTAAAAAAAAAAAGAGGCAGTGTGATTTTCCCATTAGAGAAGCACCAGCCGAAATGAATCCTAATTGGAGCAAGTTGATTATAAAGATACCTCTAATGAATGGCCCTGCTTATGCTGTTTAAGATGAGCTGGCTTTCGAAAACAGGCACCACATTCCTCGCATGCCAGCTTCAGTCTTTTACTTTCCAAGATTTCCTCTTCATCTTTTTGGACCTCATTAACGTCATCCTAAGTAAGAGAGAGGTAAAACAACCACAATATTCCAGTTAGTTTCAGGAGAAACTAATAGAGATACAATATATTTGTATTAACCACAATTTTTTTTGAAGGAAGGTTAACTTTTATAAATGAAAGTACGAATATATTTTATTAAATAAAAGAAGATGACCCGCAAATTGGGAGTTCAGACTACAGGTAGAGGGAGATAGTAAGAGAAAGAGACAGAGAAGGGTACAGTAGAGGAATAAAATAAAATAAACCAAGGAAACTAAAACAGGTATTAAGCTGTGGGATGGGAGGGAGGCCTGGGGGTGCAGAGCCCGTGAAAGTCCAAGTGAGAGCTTGGACATTCATGGTCTTCAAAAAAAAGGATTACCTACTTTGTATTTGTATTATCTACTTTACCACCAAAATACAAAAACGTACATGGTTTACTGCAATAAAAATAGAACTACATGATGTAGCTTGAGAGAATCAATGGAGCATTTTCATTTGAGCATTAAAATCCCATTTTTTGGGAATTTTTTTTTTGATCATCAATGAAATATGTGGCCATTTAATTAATCAGATTGTCAAGATGCTAGCTTGAGATCAAATGCAGCAGAACACTTTGAACAAAATAAAGTCCTTGATTCTTGACTCAGTTAATTCTGCCAAAAAAACACGGAATACTGAAGAAATGTAGAATAAATCATTAAACGAAGAAATGTAGAATAAATCACTAAACGAAGCAATTATATAATGCATACCTTGTGTTCAGAAAGCATATGAGATCTTATCAGAGACTTCTTAGACCTGCAAATTCCACAGATATCACAGTAATATCTCCTTATATCCTTAAATATTACTTCTCCTTCCATTTCTCCTCTTCCAAACCCTAGCCCCCAAACCTGACCACAACTGCACCCTAGCTCCCAAACCTGACCACAATTGCGAACGAATTGACCGATATTAACAGATTTATGAGGTTGTGTCTAAAATCCCGATAATTTGGAGCAAACCCAAAAAATCAAAGGGTTCCTGCAAATCTACGCTTAGATTAAGGGATTAAGAGAAATTGTTCTATGAAAACCTAGATTCCAGAAGCAAGTGATCAATCTCGGGTTTTTTATAAGAAAAAAGATGAAGATACAAAGTTAGGGTTTCGGCTCTGTATAAACTTTTTCCTTGTTTTAACGCTGAAGGTTATTCGCAGTTGGGAAAAGAAAAACTCGAGCTGCGTCTATATCATCGACCAAAATGCCCTAGATTTTGGTTGATTAAAAAGCCGCTGAGGCGACGCTGTCTTCGATTGCTTCGAGGGACTAAAGGAGCACCTAGGGATTAGGGTTTCTTGAAAGATTGACGGCTGGGATCACAGCTGATACATTTCGTGCAATCGGAATCTGCCGCTTCTAAGTTTTCAATACCCCAGGAAAAAGTTTATATAAGGTTACAACTTAAAAATGTAGAATCACATATGCACTTCAAAAATTCATCGGAAATGTTGTTTTAATGTTAAAAAAACTTTTTAATTGATCATCTTGACATTGAGATGTTTGAATATGAAAAAATAAATTTTTTGAATATCAAAAACCGTGCATTTTGTAACACATCATCTAGACCGTTCATTTTCAATATTTTCATATACTTATAGATCTACTTGATTTTAACCATTTTTAAAATTTAAAATTTTCTAATTAAATATGAAAATAAATTTTAAAATAATACTAATAATTTTTTATATCAAAACTAAGTAAAATTTTAAAGTACGCCTTGATTGGACTTGATTAGATTGTTTAAGGTTGCATCTTTATAGAAATTGCAACCTTTAATCAATAGCTATTGGGGCACGATAATTAGCGGTGTTAACGGGTAAGGGAAGGCTCAGGGTGGCATGGACTTGGACTTGATGAGATTGGGTCAACCTCGATCAACACTTATCTTTATATCTCATGCAGTTCATTGGACCCATATTGGATTGGATTGGATTGGATGGCAATTCAGACGTAGATAAAAGAAATATAAATTTCTATGACAATTTTTAAAATATAAAAATAATATCGTATATATGTACATATATATAAATATTAGACCCAACCCGATCCAACAAGATAGACCTAGACCTAGATCGAACTTGATCCCAGTGATTTGAACCAAGACCTAATCCACATGGTTCAATATTCAAGTCCAAACTTAGACCTACGTTGTGTTGACTCGACCAAATAGTTCGCCCGTAACCTGATGATAATACCAAAAGTTAGGGCAATGATTTTATGCAACCGTTGTATAGTAATATAATGCAATAACCTTAAAAACCATCTTATGGCTATTTGTTTGATCCAAATTTTAAAATATATATTCTTTTCATTGTAATGAACAATCATAAAAAAAAATAAAAAAATGAAAACACAACTTAGAAAGTATTTTTTTAGCCCAATTAACATAAGCCATTCATTTTGGTGAATTTACTTAGATCTAGGTTTTAAAAGGATTTTTTCATTTCCATTTTTTTTTGGATGGCTTTATTATCATTAGATGGACAATGTTAAAAAAATAAAAAAATGATTTTGAGTTTATAAAGGCTAAGATCTTGAAATTCACAAAATGAATGGTCTAGATTCGTTTGTGGAGGAGACTCATTTTGACCTTAGGGTTCAAATTGAACTTTTTTTTTTAGGAGATTGATTGTTGAGATGAAGAGAGTTTATGTGCAAAATTTGAGGTCATACAAATACCACAAACATGATTTTCTAGAAGTGTTATTGCATTATAATATAATACAACCGTTGCATTGGATCATTGCTCCAAAAGTTATTATTATGTGCATTGGCCCACCATCCTTCTGTTTCATAATGTTGCAATGGTCATTTTAAAACTAGTATTATTAAAACAATAAAACTGGACCAAGTTGGTCAATCCAACCGGTTGGCCCTTATTCACATTCACCATTTTAGCCCAACAGATTCTCAAACCCACTCGAGCCCAATAGGATTGGTCATGCAAAAAACTGGATCTTAAATAGGAGTAGAGGTTTTTGTAAATTTTATATTTTAAAGTTTTATTGCCTCCGGTCCAACTGAAAGGTCTATGAAGGGACCCAAATTGGATTGGTCGCGTGAAAAAATAGATCTTCAAAAATCATGTATTTTGAAAGGTTTGATATATTTTTGGGTGTTGACTAGTTCTCAAATAGTCTAATAACATATTGACCTACTATCATTATCAAAAAAAAAAAAAAGCTATTATCATTAATAAAGAAAGGTATGCAATGAGACTATTTAATTTGGATAAAATGGAGTCACAAACATTGTTGATTGTTGGATATGAAATTGGGAGGTCGATGACGTATTATTGATCAAGCAAAAAGTCCAAAATAAAGTATCTCCAATGTTGATCGTTTTGCACCAAAAGTAAATATTTTTGTAGTATACAATCCCCTTTTTTAATGAGTTACTTGCTCTTACTATTGAGATATATTTTTTTATGGCTTTATAAATGAAGTGAAAATAAAAATTAATATAACAATAATGTGTGGCCAGCAAAGGGGTTGCGTGCCCTGGCTCGGCCCTGAAAATGTATAGCTTGGGCCACAAAAGGGCTAAGCCAAGTTAGAGCCATGACCGGCCCGACCTGAGTTTCTTTGACTTTTTTTAATTTTCTTTTTTTATTTCATCAAGCATGATCCAACCCAGACTAGGCTAGGGCCTAGGCCAAGGACAGCTGCCTCAAGCCCAACCCATTCTTATGCCTACACCAGCGTTTTAAAAAACGCCGAGTCGAACCGGACTCGCCCGGTTCGACTCGGAAATAGTGAAAAAGGAACCGGATCGCCCAAAAATCGGAAATCGTCCGGTTCTAGAGAGAACCGGACGATTCTGTACAGTGAATCGCCGATTCCGTACAGTGAATCGGCGATTCCGTACGGAATTATTTTTTTTTTTTTTTTTTTTTGTTTTTTGTAATCCATGATCGAATTTTTTGGTTTTTTGTAACCCATAATAGAATTTTTTGTAATCCATGATCGAAATGTTTGTTTTCTTTTCTTGTAATCCATGATCGTATTTTTTT